ATCATGTTTGAACTGTTAGGATGAAGCATTGGTGCTTGTCCCCGAGTAGAATCCATATCCGGTCTCTTTATATCACCATATCTTTTTGCGATTTTCTTAGAATTTAGAGAGTCTTTTAGTCCACATTTGGACATTTTCATTATCTTTGAAAAACCACAAGTTTGAAAAGGAGCTTACATTACATCTTTATGCTCCACACATGGTCATTTTCACACTTAGGCCATTCGGATTATATCATTACCCTTTCGGTTCCACCTACACACCTTTGGGAACCAAATTTTGAGTCAAAGGGTTTACTTGATAAAAAAAAAAAAAAAAAAAAAAAAAAAAAAAAAAAAAAAAAAAAAAAAAAAAAAAAAAAAAAAAAAAAAAAAAAAAAAAAAAAAAAAAACAAAAAACAAAAAAAAACAAAAACAAAAACAAAAAAAACAAAATGAAGCATGCAAATTTTCAGTTGCAACTATCTTAGATAGGTGGCCGGTTCAATTATTGAACAAATTTTCCAACATCTTGGTCACCCGACGTTTGATATTCATTTGTATAGGTCTGTTTTATTGTATATAGATCGAGTTGTTATTTTTTTCTTTTCTTTTCTTTCTCACAAATTGGTGATGTTAGAGAGACTGTCGAGTCGGATACTACGGGAGGTTTGGGCCAACACTAAGTGAACTGATTCCTACAACGGTGCCCGATCAATTAAACCTAGTTACACATGAGAGAAACCGGCAGATCAGAGTGTGCACTTAAAGAAGAGCTCCACCCGAGCCCATCCAGTTGCTTTCTCCCTACTACAGATGTTCTTCATTGTATACATGTTCCATTGAGGCTGCGACTGCTCATCCCTCCTTACTCACCTAAAGGAGTTGTCCTGGCTGTGGTTTATGGTTCCATTGTCATCGGATGAAAAAGTTGTGAGATAGCAGCGAAATCAATTCGGACCATGTTGACTAACGTCGAACAGGTTCCATGGTTCTATCCATTCTTTTTATTTCTAGGGTAGTTCATCCCAAGTTCATTTAGTCTTGTCTTACTTGAGGACAAGTAAGGTTTAAGCTTGGGGTGATTTGATAGCTTCATTTTATTTACTTCTTTTTATAGTTTATTTTAGCATATTTCATTCATAATTTAGATAATTTCCATGCATATTTTCCTTTTTGTTATTTTATGACTATTTCGGGTACTCTCGAATCTTGTGAGCATAATTGCAGGTTTTAGGGTCTAGCGGAGCGGGAGTGTTCGGGACGTATAGGAGGCGATGGGATTTGGTAGACAAAAATGACGTTGGGCTTGATGGGTAGTGGAGATGATGCATAGAGTGATCTTGATGATTATTTGAAGACTTGGAGAGAAATAAACTTTAAATTTGCAAGATGCGGGGGGAATATTCAAGCGTACGTAAATTATTAATCGGGCGAGTTCACGAGCTTTGGAGGACTTAGAGAGGTCAAATTGGGCTTAAAATGAAGAAAAACTTGAAGAAAATGGGCTAGGAGGTGATTGGATTCGACCTGGGCCAAGTGGGCTAAGCTATGGAGGCCCAAAACCTCAAAGATGCTACATCCAGGGACCACCCGCGCAAGAGCACGCGGGTCGCGCAAGGCCCTGCAGGGGTAGTTTTGGAAATTCTTCTTTTGAGCTATTTGAGGAAGGTTGGTGCCCATCTTTTGCATACTCTTGGACACCCGATTTTTGAAGATTCTCTCTGGAGTTTTGGAGACTTTTGAAGGCCAAGAACCCTTGAAGAACATCATATTTTTACCTCTTGATTATTGCTTAATGTTTGGTATAAATTTCTCTAACTTTGTTTCTTTGGGTTTAGCCATGCTTGGCTAAGCTAATCTTGGTTGACTTTTGGTTAATCCTTTGAACTTTTGTTGAATGTTGAAGAATCCATGAACATGTTCTTGAATCTTTATGGAAATGTTTTGTGTTTTAACATCTTATCATTACTTGTATGTTTTACTTCATGAGTTTAAATGTGTTTGTGGTGATTAGTTGGCTAATTTCTTGATTAAGTAAAGGATCCTCAAATTAGCAAGCAACAAATGATTTTTGTGTTGTTTTTGCTTCACACAATCATAAAAACATTTCCTCCAACATGGTGGTGAAAGCATTTGACCCCTCTTGGATTTGGTGACTTTTTGGTTCTTAATGCTAGTTGACTTTCACTAATTACATGCTATTTGGAATTAGTGACTTTGACTAAGGAAATTGTTATGAGCTTCTCTAGCCATTTCAACAATTAAGAAAAGTCTAGGTAATCTCAAGCTCCTTGGATTACTATAGCCAAATTGAGGATTTAAAACAAGTATTGCACCATTGAATTCTAATGATATGTTCATCAAAAGTCAAAGTGAGAAAACTTTAAGTCAACCATCTTTCCCTTATTGATTTTACATCAAATTCTTATTTTTGTTGCAATTGTCTATTTAAATCATAGTTAATTCTAGTTTGTTTCAAGTATTTCAAAACATCAAAACCCCCATTTTTAATTTATTGTCATATTCCAAGTATTTTACAAAGAGATTTTTCATAGAGTTATCAAATTGAACCAGTCTTCGTGGATTCGATCCCTTTACCACTATACACTATTTTAGTGTGTAATAATTAGGGTTATTATTTGTGTTGGCCTCGACAACCACCATAGCGTTCCACTAGACTGTCTAGAAAAGTCCGTGGTCGTCATCTAAATCCCGCTAGATCACTGGATCAAAACAACAATGAGGCCTCTCATCTGTTTATTACACACCAACTATCTACTCATGTTCTACCCAACATATTAGTAGATAAAAACATACATTTTTATACATATTTTCAAAACCTGTATAGCAAGCTTGATCAATACATTTTCCATATAACAGATGAGACACACCCACATAACACGTATTTCATATAGAAATAATCAGATCTGTAAGATAGAAGAAAGTGAATATACATTCACACACATAACAACAAAATATACACATAACACACATCTCGTATAAAATACTTCATAATTATACGTTAGGAGAAAGTAACAATGCACCCACACATATAAACAACAATATACTTAATACACTCAAACCATACTTGCATTATTATTGTGTTTATGAAAGGTAGTATACACTCACTTGATCAGAAGATGATCGGACAGCACTACGACTTGTAAAAGTTGTAATCCTCAGCAGATCTGGAAGATCTCTACAAAAATCGAACTTCTCGCGGGCAGAGCTTCGGCTCGGAAACCGCACTTCTCGGGATCTTCGGGATCTCGGGACTTGCTTCGGGACTCAGGAATATTACTGGGGCTTCGAGGTATTTCTGGCACGCAAAACGATGCAAAACGGGAGAGAGAATGGAGAAAGTAGCAAAGAAGCCGGCTGCCCTCGCATCCTATTTATAGGAGGCTGATGCCTCGCAGTACGCGGGGCGTACTGCCTCCGAAACGTCACTGCATGCGTCATCCGAAGTCCTCGAGTGCGAGTGTCGACTCCCTTCGTTGTACGCGAGGCGTACACGAGTACGCGGGGCGTACTCCGGATGAGTCCGGTGACTCGTCCTCGGATAATACCGGATTTTTCAATTAAATTTATATACAAATTATTTAATAAACTTTGGAAATTCATATCTTCTTCATACGAACTCCGTTTTTGACGTTCTTTATATCCACACAAAGGTGAGACTACGCTCTACAACTTTCGTTTAGACTCCGTTGGCTAATTTTGACTTTATTTTTATTATTTATTTTTAATAGGCCGGGACAGAAAATTTCGTTATAAATTCATAACTTCTTCGTTTGACGTCCGTTCTTGCCTAACTTTTTATCGCTTTGATACTAACAACGAGATCTTCGATTCTCGTTTAGATCACTAAGGTTAAATATTGCTCTAACGTAAATTCACTTTTTACGTCGCGCTGTGTCGTGCCGGTTCTGTCACGAAACTTCGACAGGTCATAACTTCTTCGTTATAACTCGGATTTCGGCATTCTTTATATCTTCGGAAACCTTGTTTCAACTACTACAACATTAACTAAAGATATCAAGTTTATTTTACACTTAAATCTTGACGCTTATTTTTATTCTTAATTAATCAAACCACATAATTAAGCAATTAAGCACAAAACACATAATACTCAAATAATACACTTCTATTATTTCAAAACGGGTTACAAAGGTTAACTTAGACTATTTCATTGCTAAAAATGGCAAGCCCAGAAACACAGGTGTTACAAATTCTTATCATATTTTGTTTTGGGAACAAATTCCGTAACCGTTTTCTTTAAAACGGTTACTCTGATTTATAAAACAATGCATAAACAAATCGGTTTTTTCTGGTCGTGAAATTGGGGATATCACATACATACATATAGAAATTATGAATTTGATGTTTACAAGTTCAAACATTAAAAATACACATAAAATTAAGTTGTAGATAAATCCAAATACATTAAAATAACACATAAAAATAAGTTTTAGTGTTTTACATCAATCTATATACGTCAAAAAATAAAGTATAATACCGAAACGAAATATAGTTTTTGATGAATACAAATACATCATAAGAATTTATAATATTTACCATATGTTTTTATTTAGAGAAAACTAAATAGATTTTTAAAAAAATCACCAAAGTTTATTATGTAAATATATTTTTTTCATATCTTTTTATTCGGTTTAAACGGTTCAATCGGTTTTTTCTAAAAACCGGCCGGTTCAATCTGGTTCAAAAATCAATGTAAAACCGATGATAGTTGAACCGCTCATTCTTTCGGTTTCTGGTCCAACCGGTTCAACCGACCGGTTCAAAGCGGTTTTTAAAACAACCGTTAGAATTGAAAAAATAAAAAAATCTGATGCTAGAAACTCACCGGCCACTTTTAGTGGTATGGTTTGGAGGTGGCTTCTTAAACAAGATTTATAACCGGACAAAGGGGCCTACCTAGAGATTTGTGCGTCTTCAGTCTTCTCCATTCTATGTAAACAGAATCCCCGATGAAAACTCGACCGACCAATCGACTGAATGGGGAAACCAAAGCATCGCTGGACATTAGAGGAAGAAAACGCCCTTCGCGCCGGAGTAGACAAGTACGGTACCGGGAAATGGAGGAAAATACTCACCGATGAAGACTTTGCTCCTTGCTTCATTGCTCGGACCAATGTTGATCTCAAGGTTATTTATACTTTCTCACCTTTTCCGCTTTACAAACTTCTTCTTGATTCAATCGTATATAATATATATTCCTGCCAGCTTAATTTTATGCCTTGCATGGCGTCATGATATACATGAGAACACACACACACACGAAGAAGTTGCCAGAAAGAGCTATATTCTGATGTGTCGATTGAACTGGTTCCTTATATACGATATATAATCTGAATAGTGTCAGTTCAACTGGTTCTAATTTAGTCTTCAGAACTAATGGTTCTGACTTTAGGACTTGCCGCTAACATGGTATATATGTCTGAACAAATTCAGATAATTTTTTTTCGTGCCAGCTGCACATTAGGGTTTGTATATAATTTTGAATTATTACATTCTTGTCCTCCCAAAAAGGGAATAATATAAAGAGATCAACCATGCCCATGTCGGTATCACCCTTTTCATTTTTATAGCTTTGAACTTTGCTAATGCATATACAGCAATTGCGATAGCAATGGGTTTCTGACTTTCTCTATCACTATAGTTTTATATTAATGAAAATTATGACATCTGTAGTTTTAGGGTTTTGTAGTCAATATAATATATAACTATAAATTCAGCTAATGAATACAAAAGTTGAACACTCCCAACCCATAATAGTGTGTCCTTCCGCTTGATTGCTTTTCAAATTATGAAGAAAGCCTCGCCAGGTTTGCTGCAGTGTTCAGATGATGGAAAAAAGGTGCTATTCATATGTTCTTCATCCATATATCACAAAATTGAGTTTGTTTCTACATAGCCAAGAACACGAATTTTTGACAACTAGTCCTAATACTTTAAACACTTCAACCGATTCGACTCTAAAACATATTTCAATCATAAATTCGACGTCAACTAGAACTTGTATCAACCGATTTCGAATCAAAATTCACAGAATCATTGTCAAAAAACTGATTTTGACTTTAGATAATACGCTTGGAATGTCAAAATGTACAACTCTATATGTACAAGACGAATAGCAACATATCATCGAATAGAATATCTGATTTTGATGAACGAGCTTTTAGTTTTAAGATATTGGATCAAGAACTAATGAATTGTTGGGCTTAAAGCTTCCATGGACAGTTTCGAATATCAAAAATGGACTCAAGAAAACAAAGTATACTAATGGATTCATAACATGATTTTTGAGTCAAATTCTTGATTTAAACAAATAATTGCAATTCAAAATCAAATTGAACAACAAATAGGATTGGATCGGGACTTGATCAAGAAAAAAATAATCGGATCATAAAAAGTGGGTTTTCTTAAGAAAAATTTGATCCAACGAGTCAAATGATTACAAATAAAAAATGCAACGCACGAATTTAAAGAAACTAAGAGAGATCATAAAGAGAGATTCACCAAAATTACTCAAATTGTGACAAATATTGTCAAACCGAGAATTGTTCTTCGAAAATCACGTTGATCATTGAAGACCCACTCTGATACAAATTGTAGTGACATAAAGAACATGGTTTGACATGCGGAATTAAAGATTGCACATTGAACATGGTGATTTGGGTGTTCAAGAGATGTATTGAATATGTTTGGTATTACAAAAAGAGACATAGATCTACATCTACATAAATAACACACACTTACACACTCACTTTTACACCTCAAGCACACTTCTACAAGTGGACTAAACCCACCTTATATAGAGGTGTTTACATGTCTCTCTCTCACTTTCTCTAACTCATGGGCCAAAAAGCTAATGCACCATATGCAAGTGGGTTTTACATAAGTCAACACATTACAAAGTCAAACATGAATAACTTTGCACCCTAACAATTTGAACCTATTTCTCTCTCTCTCTCTCTCTCTCTCTCTCTATATATATATATATATATATATATATATATATATATATATATATATATATATATATATATGGAAATCTTTAATAAAATCCCAAAATTTTGGTTCAGTTTACGTTTTAGTCATAAATTAATTTTTTTGAACTAAAGAAAATCCTAAAAACTAGCAAAAGTTTGCATTTTCACAATTTTTGATAGGTTGAAACTGATAACAAATTAATTTTAGACTATTTCGTACATTGACCAAAAATATTGGGATTATTCTCCATAAAAAATAAATCAGGACTTTTCTACAAACAAAAACTTGTTGTTGTTGTTGTTGTTATTATCATCATGATCATGATCATAATGATCATCATCACAATCGCCATCGTCATTATTATTATTATTATTATTATTATTATTATTATTATTATTATTATTAAAAATATAAATAAGTTTACTATTTTTTGAATTCGGTATTGTTAATATTGTTGATAATACATATAAATACGTTCAAATGAAAAAAATATTAAAGACATTTATACTGGTGAAGGTAGAAGGGAAGGTGATGATTTAAACACTGAAATCATGAATGTTGCTTGTATATTCTCACTTTTTATATGACTATTTCATATTTGTTATTATTGTTTTCAATTAAGAATACTAACACTTAAATTCTTAGTTTTTTGCTTATCATTCTCAACTTATAAGCGAACATTTCTTATATATATTTTTCTTGAATCGACTTTGGGTCTGCATCTAGGATCGAAGAAGGATTATGATTGGGTTTGTTACCATATGTATTAGTGTGTGAGCGTGTGTTATGTGTGTATGTCTTGTGTGTAAGTATTTAAATTACCAACACGTGTGTAGGGGTGCAAACGAGCCAAGCCGAGCCCGAGCCTGGCCAGGCTTGACTCGGGCTCGTTTAAGTATATGAGGCCCGAGCTCGAGCTCGGCTTGATTCAAGCTTCCTTGTACTGAGCTCGGCTCGTAAAGAATTATAAATGCTAACTTCATTTCGACATCGTATATTTTTTTAATATCATTTTTAATTGTAGGACAAATGGCGTAACCTATGTGGTAATGCGTCTAGCAGGGTTGCCTTTCCTCGATGCTCAACATATAAGGAAACAGTAAGTTTTCTATATGCTTCTCCTTGTTATGTTTATATTTCTTAAATGTACATCAAATAATCATGCCATATAACTTGGATTTTCATGTTACAACTTAGTTCATATATTTAACTTAATTGATTTGATTTGTTTTCAACGTAGTCATTGAGCATCATGAGAACGGCTAGTATGATTGATGGTTTTTGTCTTCTTTGAATCCAAATATAATTTTGAATTTTGAAAGTATTTATAAACAATTTAGATTGTATGATAGATTGTAACTTGTAACTTATAAGTAACATCCTTACAAGTCCCTTAGCATATGTGAATGGCTCAAAATGGTATTCATGTTTCGATCATTTGTTATATGCTTAATATATACTCCTCATACACATACATATTGATAATAATGATGCACTTGACACCTCCAAAGATGTATGATTTTTCTGAACATTTAGTTAATTGTTTTTTATACCTCCTTGGTATAACCTTGTCTCTTATGGTGATCTTCTGCTAGTTACAACACCATGATTCTTGAAGCACTTCCATTTGTAGTGTTAGGACATGATTTATGGTTTATAATTTACTTTTGATGACTTTTAGAGTTATCGATCTAGGACCTAAAACACCATGTTTTCGGTGGTGTTTGGACCGAAATCACCATGTGATTTCAGTGGGCTTAATGAGCATTTCGGTTGGGTTTTAGGTTGGGTCTTTGTATTTAGGTCTAGGTATATATATTATTGTTTTCAGCCGTGTAAAGGGTTGGTGATTTTAAGAAATTGAGATCGAGTTTAGAGAGAAAGAGTGAATCGAGAGTAATTGAGAATCTTATGTACTAGACTATTATTCAATATAGTGTGCATTGAGGATTCGTTAACCGCGTTCTTAATTTGATATACCCGTTTTGCATAAATCATTGGAATTGAGATTCCTCATAAATTCTAATGAATTTGATTGATAATTAAGATGGGGTTTTACAATTAGTATGAGAGATAGGATTGATATCAATCGAATAGGTCTTAATTAATTACCAATTTCGTGTTTTTGGCATTTTTGGGCGTCTTCGGTCAAAACCTAGGAGTTCTCGGCGGCAAGCTCAGGTTTTCGGTTAGGTTTAAAAGTTCTCGGCGGCCAACTGATAGATTTGGTTAGGGCAGCTCCTCATACTCAACTTATGAGTTCTCGGTCTCTGCCTCGGAGCTCTCGGTCTCAGCTTCGGAGTTCTTGGCGGCGACTTTGTGTTCTCGGCTAGGTTAGCTTCGCTTCTCAGTATTTTTTGGGTCTTCAGTCAACGTATTCGGTCCGCTTAATTGGCTTTGCATCCTTGGTTCAGCTTCTCGGTTGTTTAGATTTCGTCTAAGGTTCTCGGTCAAGAAACCTCGTTCTCGGTCAATTCTTTTTCAGAGAAAAAGTTAACCTTCAAGGTTCTCGGTCAACGGGGTGTTGACTATTGGTGTTTTCGGTCAAACGACATTTATTTTTGGTAAATAATGAGTTCTTACATCAGTACCAAGGAGGTTAATGAAGTCTCATGCTCTCAGTCCTGCATAGATAAAATTAATAAATATCGTGAGAAAAATGAGTTATTAGTTAGAGAGGGTTTTGAGCTTAAAAATGAAATGTATGAAATTAAGAAAGTCAACAAGTATCTTAAAGAGAAACTAGATGCTCAAAATAAAGATTTAATTAGGATTAGGGAGGAATATATCACCAAATGTGTTCATCATCGTTATGCTAAGGAGAAAATTGCCAAATTAACTGTTGAACTTGATGCGTTAAAAACTAAATTTAAGGATGCTAAATTTAACTTTAAGAAATTTGACTTGTCAAGTGATATAGTTGAATCTACGATAGAAAAACAATTAAAATGGAAAGATAACTAGAAAAATGGTCTAGGGTATCATAGTGTCCCACCTCCTTTTAATGATAATTATATTTCTGCCTTTGAGACCATAGAAGTAGAAAGACCTGCACAATATGGCCAACCCCATGTAACTACCTCAATCAAGATTGCACAGTCCGACCCAACTGAGATTATTAATGTGAACGATACTAATGTTTCTACTTCATGTGCAGATAAAGTAATAGTGCAAGATGGGTTCGAGCCGAACAAAAATAATTGTAGTTCTGCTGAAAATGTTTCAAAAACGTGTGATGATAATAATCTTACTGTTGAAAAATTCAAGCCACAAAAATTTGTTAAACAGTCTAACAAATGTGTTTGTGCTTGTGGAAGTTCTTTGAAACAAACTTCAACTGGACAAGGACCAAGTCACAATCTTATTTATTTGAAACGACAAACTTTTTTTAACTGTAGGACTCCTGGTCACATTGCTAAAAATTACCCACACCGTTCATATGTTCCCTACTATGAACAAGGTTAGCAGAACGTGCCAAGGGGGATATCTTCCAAAACAAATCCTTCGAGGTCATGTTCACGCAATGGTGATTGGAATGCTAAAAGGGCCAAGAATCAGACTCCCAAGGACAAAAAGGGTATATCGGACAAGAAGCCTAATTCAAGTGATGGTTCAGCCAAACTGAAATCGGTAAGGTCGAGTTCGTCTCAAGGATTGTCCTCTAGCTTACACTTGCAATATAAGTCTAAATCAAAAGGTAGTTCCATTTCAAAATCAAGTGTTGAAGCACCTATTAGGTTAAACATTAAAATGCTTAAACCTAATTACCAATGGGCTCCCAAAGGTCACATTTCGAAATCGTCCAAAAGTCCTCTAACCTCTTTATGTTCCTTATCTGATAAACAGGATATGTCATGGGAAATAGTATCTTGTGTAGATGGTAATGGTAAACCTAGTTTCAAAATGGATTGGGTTCCTAAAACCAATTAACCCCGCAGTCTGTGCCAGAGCAACTATGGAGGAATATCATCAGACTTCGGTAGGTTGATAGTGGATGTTCAAGGCACATGATAGGAGACATATCTCTTATACATGACATTTATAATTTTAATGGAGAACATGTGTCCTTTGTGGGAAGGGAGAAAGAAAAGATCACACAACTGGGGATCGTATTTAATGGCGTGATGAATTTTTGAATATGTTAACTTCGTTTCGGAATTGAAACACAGCTAAGGCTGAATACATTGTTACTTCTGTTTGCTGTTCTCAGGTCATCTGGATGCAACTTCAATTGCTGAACTACGGGTTGAATTTTCTTGATACTCCTAAGTTTTCTTAAAATGATTTGTTTTGAAGACTAAAAGTTTTTTTTTTTTTTTTTTTTTTTTTTTTTTTTTTTGTACATTTTGTATTTTAATTTTGTTTTATTTCAATTTTTTCATATATTTTCTTTCTTTCTCCTCTATGCACAAATTTAATGAGAGAAGTAAAACCATACAAAAATCATAAAATTCAAAAATATGTTTATTTTATTTATGTTTTTATTTATTTTTCAGAAAAATAAAAAAATCCAATATATATATATATACATATATATATATATATATATATATATATATATATACACACACACACACACACAGTTTTTTAGCGTATGTTAATTTTATTTTTTATTCTTAGTCATTTTTATTGTGCTAACTTTATTTTATTTTTATTTTTTTATCTCAAAATTTTCATTTGTCTTAAAACGCGAATTCAAAAGAAGAAGAGACTCAAGAAGACTGTATCGAAATTTTCTGTGTAAAAGGAAATCTTGAAAGGAATTAACGGAATTATAGTTCACACAACTTTCACAAGGAATTGAAGGCATGAAACCGTACAAATTTTCAGTTAGACAGTTTCTCTCTAAGAACTGTCGTATTCATGGAATTGAAGGCATGAAAGTGTACAAACTATCAGTTAGACAGTTTCTATCAAAGATCTGTCGTATTTAAGGAATTGAAAGTTTAAAACTATACATATTGTCAAAATTGGTCTTGTCAGTTATCTTTACCTAAGAACTGTCACGGTACCAAGGCGATTCACCTAACCAGGAAATAGATATCGCTGAACATCCTGCCTAGGTTCATGGCATTCTTTTTGTCATGCAAAACTGCAGAGACTCAAATATATTCTCGGATACATTCTTCGTAGGTAAGGAATTAATGGTTATTGGCACTAGGGCAATCCACTTCGCAAGGCATGATTATCGCTAAATGTCCCGCCAAAGGGCCTTGACCTCGTGTCATGCTAAACTGTGGAAATATGTTTTCGAATATTTTGTCATAGGATGGTTTTGTGAGTTATTCCAAATTAACTCTCACTAGCACTAGAATGGTACACTCAGCTGAGATTCAGAAACCATTGGACGTCTCGCCAAGGGCCAAGTTAACTTGTTAACTTGAAAAACTGTATTGAGATCTTTGATCGAGGATATGTAGGGGCTAACATCAAAAAATAGCCACTAGTAATTCTCCGATACTCAACAAATCGTAGTGCGTTCCTCCGTGTTCACACAGATACTGTGAGTAGTCTCCATCTGAGCCAAGGCTGGGTCCTTGAACAACTGTGGTGAGAAAGGTCTTTATGATTCTGTGATCCACATAAACTTCTTACTCATAGTTACCTTTTAAGACGCATCTGTGATCGATAAAGAATTTTCATTCGAAGGAACAAGAAGTGTAGATTATTTTTCAACACATAACCTTTCAACCCCAGAAGCAAGGTGAACTTGTATTTGAAGCTATGTGTTAAATTGCGTTGAAGCCTCCTCAATAAATTTGCTGCTATTTATGAACTTGCCAAAGTGATCCAGAAGAATCGGTCTCTTTATACTTATCTCTGAAGTTTCTCAAAGCTGAAAGTGCTTATTTATAAGAACCTATACAAGAAGCCTCTATACCCAATGTGCGTTCAAAGTCACATTTTAAAGGAAGTCCAACTATTCAAGATGAAGTCAATTATGCAGAAATTCATATGTTCATCTTGAAGTTGTTAAGAAATCGAAGATAAAACCTGAAGGTCAAGAACAAAGAGAAGATTGAAAAGAAAAGAAAGCTATAAACTAAAAGGGAGATTGTTAGGACATGATTTATGGTTTATACTTTACTTTTGATGGCTTTTAGAGTTCTCGGTCTAGGACCGAAAACACCATGTTTTTGGTGGTGTTTGGACCGAAATCACCATGTGATTTCGATGGGCTTAATGAGGATTTCGGTTGGGTTTTGGGTTGGGCCTTTGTATTTAGGTCTAAGTATATATAGTATTGTTTTCAACCGTGTAAAGGGTTGGTGATTCTAAGAAGCTGAGATCAAGTTTAGAGAGAAAGAGTGAACCGAGAGTAATTGAGAATCTTATGTTCTAGACTATTATTTAATATAGTGTTCATTGAAAATTCGTTAACCGTGTTCTTAATTCGATATAACCGTTTTGCATAAATCATTGGAATTAGGATTCTGCACCAATTCTAGTGACTTCAATTGATACTCAAGATCAGGTTTTACATGCAGATAATTCATATAGGCTTGATCCTAACACAATCCATAGCTACATTGAGGTTAGATCATACATAGTTTGTAATTTTTTGGTCTATATACACGAGAGCTTTCGCCTTCCACAAAGAGTCTTTTTTTTTTTTTGACAATTTTCCGCTATCAATTTCCACGCTTTATTTTACTAAAATATTTTTCTACAATGCATTTTGTAGTTAAACATATACATGCACGTTTGATGTATTGATCTTGCCAAGTGTTTTTTACAAGAAATTAGGTCAATAGAGGCGATAAATGTTGCCCCTAATACCTCAAATGATATCCGCTATTTGTGTTACCCTTGTTAATATGTCACTATTGTTCATGTGGCGCCCTTAATGTGTCACCCCTATTTCTAGTGTTTTTTTAATATTATTTTCCCAATAGTCGTAAAAATGCTTTAAATGCATAAACGACACAAAAAAAAAATATAGAAAACAACACCATTATAATGAAAACACAAATTTTTTTTACAAAAAGTATAATATTAAAGTTATTTGTTACACAAAACATCCAAAAAGATAAATAAATAAATAAAACTACCTGGACGTGTCATTATCCTCATCTCCCTCGTTGATGTTCCCCTTGTTATTGCCATCACTATCATTTGGGTTGAGAATGATCGAATCATGTCTTCAAGTATCTCCTTATGCATCAAGTCGTTCAAAAGAGTAACAAGAAAATTCTTCTACAAAATAAATATATACTGACATTATACATAATGCTAAAACAATATTAAACTTAGAAGTTATAATGACAAACTAAATAAAAGAAATTACCAACCTATCAACATAAACAACCCAACTAACGAATAACAAAATATC